ATGTGTTAAATATTTTTGATTCAGTCTTCCATTTAAGGTCACTAGTTCCCATATTTCTCTCTTCCATTTGCATTATTTGCACATTTATGCCTTTAATTTTCAAAATACTCTCTTCTTCCCGCTTAAGGCCATATAATCTGTTTTCCATACGTGTTCCCATTTCATTATTTCATTCAACAACTCTCTTGTGCTGTTTTCATGTCGTCTAGCTCTCTATTGAAGAAGTCCTATTGTTCCTGTTTGAGATCCTAAGCCTACCTCTCCACTGTGTGTGGTCATCCTTTTAGGACTTTGAATTTTTTATGCTTGTATTCTAAAATCTCTGTTAGGTCTTTGAAGTCTGTGCTCTTTAAAGAGGTCTCTGACCTTCTACTCTTCTCTTTTGCTTTCCCATGCTGTGTTCAGATGTTCCTTGCTCCCTAGCCATATGTGTCTGTCACCTTACTTTCTTTTTTCTCACTGGGGTGCTTATCTAGTTGGAGCCCTTAAACTCTGCCACAGTCTTGATGGGAAGGGAGGGCTGTTCCAGGTGGAGAGAATTAAGCTGCAGCTCCTTCCCTTTCTCCAGAACAGATTCTATTTTACTGTTTCATAGAGCCCAAACTGTGGAGACCCCTCCCTGGCGCCTCCTCCCTGAGTGGACAGCAGCACTCTCCAATCTCCCAGCATGATGGAGGAGGGGGCTCTGTCAGCTGCACTGTTGGTAGACGGATACTCTAAGTCTCAACTAAGGGTCCCCATAGCAATTTGGTTGTAAGTCTGAAGTGTCCCCCCTCACTAAGGAGACTCACTGAGCCCAGCTCCTGCACCTCACTGTCTGTATTCTGACCCTAACTTGTTCGACTCACTGCAGTGGTTGCTGCTCTGGCAGCATCTCCCTTGTCTGTCCCATCCTCCAGTTAAGCACAGGCCTCAGTGTGAAAGAACTATGGTTCCTCCTGTGTCACCAGTGATGAACGGAGGAAATTTCCTATGAACAAAATTTAGTTTTTCTTAGTTATGCTCAGGGGAGTTTTCTTAGATCCTCCCCCGGCACTTCATTGTGGGTGGAGTCCCCTATCTGATCTGTTTTGGACAAAAAACCAATTAGTCATGTTTCCATCTGCCCTTTTATTGCTTTTTATTTCTGGTCAGAAAACTGTTGCAATGGCCTTTGCTTCATGCTTATTCCTCACTTTTATTTCTTCATTGTGAGTTGTATTCTTTAACACAATTAGCTATCATTCTTTGGCTTTGACTCCTATTGGTTTCCATTTCTTGATATACTTTTTCAAGAAGTATGTTTTATAGCAATGAGTTTGAAAATGGTGAGTTAAGCCATTTACATTTATTGATGTGACAAACATGTTCTTAATTAACATTTAATATTATTTTTTCATTTATATTGTTGTTTTCCATCCTGTATTTGTTCTGTTGCCTTTTTGTCTTGTCTAGGTAGTTCTGATTTTGACATAGAGTATTTGTTATATTTGTCATCTATTACCTGCCTGGATATAATTTTCTTAACACCAGGCAATATCTATGGGCTCACTTCTGTGATCATATTGACGGCATGTATGCTTTCCTCTCATTCTTCTTCTCTCCTACCCCAATTTCAACCACCAGTATTATTTTGCTATTTATCTCTGTACTGTTAAATATGCTTTTACCTCTAATTTGTTAACCTTAAAAAAACCTGATGAGGCCCTCCCTGGTGGCGCAGCGGGTTAAAGCACAGCACTAAGAAGCTAAAGTCATTTCCGCATGAGTTCGATCCCCACCCGCACCGGAGGTGATCCACATGGCGAGGCAGACCTCTCCTGACCCTTAGGCAGCTCGCCACAGCAGATCCCCTTCATCGATCTGCCTGTTCTGTTTACCACTCTTGTCTCTGGTGAATCCTCTTACCCCCCCTGCACTTCTGGCTTATACCCCAGTTCTGTATGAATAAATAAATAAATCTTTAAAAAAAAACAAAAACCTGATGACTCAGCACCTACAGATAAAGCAATCCATAGATTCATTTCTCTCCCATTTGGGTAATTTTCTATGACCCAAAGATTCCCTTCCTCTCTAAAAACATCTTTGTTTTCTTCAAAGACAGCATTCTGTTCCTCCAAACAGTCATATCTTTTTCTTTCTCCAAACTAAGTAGGTTCAGAAGGCTCCTGTGCTTGTCCTATGTCCCCTGATCCCACTCTCAGTGGGAGGTTCTCATGTTTGGGCCATTTTTTCTGCCACTCTGAGGTCTGCCATGGCAAGGGCCTCTTTAGTGCTCTTGGCTCCTTCTTTTTCTATCATCTCTTGTAAGCTCTGCTCGATTTATTTCAGCCTTGTTCTCAGGGATTTCTTCAATTTTTATACTCCATAATGGGTATGGACCTATTTTTGTCATGTCTTTCTGGGGTCTGCCACTGATAGGACCCTCAGTCCTCTCCTGGGTGTCACTTCCTGGCCTATAGAGACTACTTGCTGTGTCCAGTCATTCGGCATCACTGCAAAGTATGGAGTTTGTACATTTACGTCTTCTAGTGTGACTCATCATGAAGTTTATAAGTTCCCCCCACCTCTATTGTCTTTGTCACTCTCTATGCTTCCAGGAGAAAAGAAACTTCTTAAATATAAGTTATGACCATTTTCATCCTGAAAGTAAATTCTAGACTTTAATGCCTTTAATGGGTGATTCTCATGTAGCTCAGTCTGTTAATGAGGTTTTCTGCATAGCTAGAACCCATTTTAATGTACTTGATGGGACAAACTGATCCATTTAAATTATTTTGATTCACTAAATCTTAAACTTGCCAACACGAACTCCTGTTGCTACAATAAACAGAGGAGAGAATTATTTATTGGTATATGGCTCCTTTGTTCTCCAAGTTGGACAAGAGCTAGCAACATTTGCCAACATCTTAATAGTCATGGAAGTCTTTTACTTCCTGCAAGAATAGTTTACAGAGCCCTTCCTGGTGGTTCAGTCCATTGAAGCGCAGCACTATGAAGCTAACCACAGTTGATACAGTGTGAGTTCGATCTCTGGTCCCAGAGCTGACCCACACGGCACAGAAGACCTCTCCTGTCTCTCCCACTGAGGATCATGTGCTACGTCTGCTCCCCACTCTGTCTCTGGTGAATCCTCCCACCACTCCTGCACCTCTGACCTGTACCCCAATGCTATATACATAAATAAATCTAAAAAAAAAAAAATCTTTTTGTCGACACCTACCCTTAATCATTCTTAGCAGAAAAAAAACAAACAACAAAAGTTAACAGATGTGAACTTCCACAGCCTCTCCTCTTCCTAATTGAAACTTACCTATAATAGCAGGGGTCACATCATTTTTGCACACATTCCAGAAAAACATGGCCTTTCTTTCTAGGTCCATCTCCCAGCTTAGCTACCACTTTCATCTCTTCTACAGTTTTTGATCTTTACTCTCCTGCCTCTTCTCACTGCTTTCATGAATAAACTTACGTTCTTTATTCTTAAACCAAATCAAAGCAGAAAATTCAAAAAAGATTTCCATTTTTTAATCATAAAAAAAAAGATTTCCATGTTTCTTAACCCTTTTAAAGTTTCTGCTTCTCCCGCTTTCCTTTATATTCAAGCACAGCTTCCATCAAGCCACTGATCTGTTGGACTCACTGTAATACCTTTGCCATCACCATGCTGAAGTTGTTGCTCAATGGTACTCAACATTGCTTAATGACGATGTGCTCTTTACGCATTTAAATTAGCAACCGTTTTATATACCAACATGCATGGCCTTGATCTCTAGATGATAGTCAGGTTCTACTTCTCTGCTCTCTTTCATCCAAAGGTTACATTTTTTTTTTTTAAGTTGAAAACTTTATTATACCCCAGAACCAATGACTGGATCAAGGAAATGTGACATATACACAATGGAATAGTACTCTGTGATCAAAAAATGCAAGTTCATGCCATCTGCAGCAACATGAATGGAACTGGAAGGGATAACTCTAAGTGAAATAAGTCAGAAGGAAAAGACAAATATCAGATACTTTCACTTACATGCAGAATATAGAGAAACTCCACAAAGGGCCAGGAAAAAGAACTTGCAAGCTGACCATGGATATGAGGCCTATGGCAGAGAAGAGGGAAAAAGTCCAAGAAACTATAGTGATGGTGGACAGGTGCTATGGTGGTGGGAGAACAACAGTAACACCTGAAGGGACAAAGGTTACAGTTTACTATTCTTCAAGGGTATCGTTTTCCCCTGACATCACATCATCTTCCTTTTGTTATCTATTTTTGAGGAAAGTAACAGGTAAAAAGCCAATTTAGAAGTCTTTCAGCAAAAGTTTTCTATTCATGCATGCACATGTTCAAAATAACATTATTCCTTTAGAAATAAATTTACCTTAATTTGTCAATTGTATGCGTGAGAGTCATTACAAACAAAAAGTTTGGGGAGGAGGAGAAAAGTTCATCTTTTTTTAAAGAAGCTTTTGTTCAGGCTGGGAACAGGTAAACTTAATAGTTCAAGTTTAGGCTGTGGTTACAACCCATCTTATTTGAATTTATAGAAATTTTGGGTATTTTATAATTCAGTTCTACTTTGGACAAATTGGTTTTGTCAATACAGCTCTCTCTCTGTTTTTATTCCCTTGCCTCCCATCCAAAAGTAGAACTCTGCTGTTTGGGAATACTATTATCATTAACTTATACGGGAAAACCCTCCTTCCCAGATCCAAACCATAACCTAATGAATTATATAAAGAGGACTACTTTGGGGTAGTGGGAGAAACCTGTAATAAATGAGTAAGTGCAATATTATGTAACTGTTTAAGTAAGTGCATTAGCTATGAGAACAAAGGTTAGTAGCCCACAGTACTGGAACAGCTATTAGAATGGTCGCTCTGCTCTTTGCCTTAAGAAAAAGCAGTTGAATCCAGGAGTAGACAATAACTTTATTTTCTAAAACTTTGTCCTATATATTTTTTGACATTATTTCTTTATAAAGGAATAGGGAGGAAAAGCTTATCTTGATACAGGGTCAGAATCAGTAAAAGTCAGCTTTTAATGAGTTGAGGTCAATCAGCAGAAGTTCTGCATTTGGCCTTTGCAAAGCACTGGTCCTCCAGCAGCTGCCAATGATCTTCTCAAGTCTTTTCCCAGGCATGGAATCTGTGAAGACAGCCTGGGAGAGCGAGGGCCTAAGATTACAGGCCACTACCGCGTAGAGGACATAATCACGCTCCCCTGAGTAAGGCACCTCCTTGGTGGTCATTTGCCACAGAGTGATAGCGAAAGAATAAATGTCCGCTTTGGGCGTGATGGTCTCTCCTTTTAGGAGCTCTGGGGCTCGGTGGGTGTAAGTGCCGCCTAGGTGGTAAGGAGTCTTTAAACATAGTACATCTTCCAGTTTTTCAGAGCAACCAAAGTCGCCAATTTTGCAGACATCCTGTTCACTGATCAAAATGTTGGCAGGCTTCAAATCCAAATGCACGATGCTTTGTGAGTGAAGGAAAAGCAAACCATTCACTACATCCAGGGAATACTTTAGACACGTCTTCAAATTTAATTGCTCTTTGGCACAACCATAGAGTTCCCCCACCTCCTCAGAGCACCTGGTCGCTCCGTATATGACTTGGTGTAAAGTGACATTGCCACCAAACTCCATGATTATGGTGCCCAGACTGTTAAAGCCGGCAGGCGTGTGGGTGCTGGCCGCCACCACCCTCACGATGTTGTCATGGCGGAGCTTGGCCACGTTGAGCTCAGCCCAGAAACTCCTTTGGGATGCCAGTCGGTTCTTGGTGCACTTGCTCACCTGTTTTATGGCCACCGGAACCCCGTGGTAAGTTGCCTTGTACACTGAGCCAAAGCCCCCAGTTCCCAGCCTGTGCAGGATGCACACCTGTTCCCAGTCAATGGAGCACCAGGCCAGCCGGCGGGGTAGCCGTGGGGCCCTGGGCGGAGTGGCCCCCAGACACAGCTTCCCTGGTTGCTCAGAAGGGCTGCTGCAAGGTCGCGAGTCCACCAAGGGGGAAAACTCACCAGCGAGGTAGGAGCGCAGTGGAAGTGGTGAGGGCATCCTTTCTCTAAAGTGAACCCAAGAAGTGCCGGGAAGCGAAAAGAATATGCAAACCTCTGTGAATGTGGAAGCATGGCTGATGAGTCCTTTGCTCACCCCAACGTTTTTCTCCTCTCCCTCATTTCCCCCAAATAAGCCGCGTCTGTTACATAGCAGTTTTTATCAGATGGGGGAAGTCTAAATGAAGTACAACAATCCCTTTCAGATGAAAGCATTTCCTTTCAACGCTGAAAGTGAATTCTTATGAAAACAGTTCTCGGGAAGAGTTCACCAGATAAGCAGTCCCAACTTGCCTCCAGATTCACCCTTCTTTTACGTTATTTCTTTAATGCTAAGAAAAGGTTGTTTTGTTTTGTTTTTCTCCAAGTCTCATCTTCTAAACATCAGTCCTTCGACTAAGGAGATCACAACAGTACAATGAAATTATTTCACACTTCCCAGGCTATAATGATTGTCAGTGTTGTTCTCCAGCTGCATTAAATCACTTCCAGCAGTTATTGGCAGAAAGAGCTGAAATGTGAACAGCTGACATTTGTTTAACTGATTATGGGGATAATTAGGTGCAATATTCATATAAGGATAAAAAATTGTAAACTCCAAGTAATTGATCCAAATAGAATCAATGATACAGGTCAAAATACATACCTTCTAAATTCATTAGGGGAAAGGAAAATTCTCTGACACTCTATTCTGTTTGTGTAGCAAACTAGCAAGACTTTTTAGCAACATATCAACTTCCTCACAACTCTTCTGTTCCATGGTAGTTTAGCCCACCCAGTAAGCTTACTTGGGAGAGAGGGTCTAGACTTTGCAGCAAATGAGTTATAGAAGTTTTGAAGCAGAGTTAGGGGAGGAAAAAGAGAACAAAAATGGCTTAGATTGATGATATGAGCCTCAAGTAATAACCTAGAGAGAATTGTAGACGAGGAAAAATTGAAGAAAAAAAGGCACACACCACTAAGTGTTATATCTAATGTGGAAAATTAGGGATTGAAATTCAGGATCTTGCCACCCAATGACAATTTCTTCCTTTCTAATTTTTGTTATAAAATTTTTCATACCATATCTTTGTAAAAGACAAACAATATTACCTTGTTAATTAGGATCTACATTAAAAAAAAAAAAACGTGGTAAATTTCCATTCTGACTTAGTGACTGACTTAGAGCTCATTGGTGTTAATAGGTGTATGCTTCCAAAGTATATTAGTTCTGAGAAGATACTGAAAAAAGCAATTTGCAGACTGGCAACCTAGGATAGGATTGATTTCTCTACTCTGCTACCTGTTAGCTTTAGAACATAATATAGTGTATAATATTTAAACTGTTTAGATTTCAATTTTCCATGTAAGAAATTAGCATATTATTACTTTGGAATACACAAATACTGTCTAGTTTAACAAAGTAAAGTCTGAAAAATATAAGCTTTGGAATATTTTAATAGAAAGGCAAGTGTAGGCAATTATACTAAACCCCAAATAGAAATGGATGACAGCAAATAGAGCAAAATAAGAAAGTAATAGAATTAGATTTTATGAAACTATATTGCAAAATTTATTCATAAAACACCACATATTTGAATGCCTGGCTCTGAAATTATTGTGTGGTATTTGCAGTGATGTGAATATTAGGCAAATAAGAGTCACTGAGAACCTTACTTACAATCTTGGAATTACACATAATACAAAATGATGTGGTATGGTGTCATACAACCTTTAAAGATAATAGCTTAAGCAATTTGGTTTTCAAAGTCTGATTTTCTTAGTTTCATAATCTTTTATGGCATTAATGAAAATATGGCACACTGTACATTCACAAACCCCAAGCTTTATTATCCGTCAATCTGGTGAAAAATATTTAATTGAATATCCATTTTAACAGCCACTGGTTGAACTGGCTTTCTTAGTGTCTCAGAGTTTCCTCACCTGCAAAATGAGGAAAGTATGCTTATCTCACAATTCTTATCAGGATTAGCAGGATTTTTAATAACACCTGAACTCCATAAAAACCAATGCATGAGAACCTGTACAATAATAAACAGATTTGTTAGTGGCATTGATTTCAAGCCTATTCAACCAGGACTGAAGTAACTGATTTTATTATAAGATAGACCAATCAAAGTTTGAGTATTTTTTCCCTACATTTAAATTTTACTTGAAGTTAAGGACATGAAAGCATATTGCCTTGTTTCATACGGAGGGTTACTGATCAAATGCCATCTCCAAATACAGGCAGATCGACAAATGTATGGATAACCGGGTCGGAGGCACTTTTACCCTAGAATTGTAGATGAAACAAAGCAGAGGAAGTAAAAAGATGTGTGCAGGTGCAGGCACAACCTGTAGCACCCAATGGTTCTCTGATTTTTGGTGCAAAGGTTTTTTATTTTCTACTCTTTCAATGGCAGCATTACTCTTCAGACACACTTCAGGATCAGGCAGAAAACAGTATAGTTCTCCCAAGTATAGCCTGCCCGTGTGGCAAATGATGCCATAATTAGTAGCTTTTGGACTTGATTTCTAACATTGAGGGACCCTGTGAGCGGGCATTCACTTTGGTGAAATCCGAGGCTTTCGGTTTACCGACGCGTGAACGCTGCTGCCGGGACTGCGCGGGTGCTGGGCAGCGCGTGCCCGCTGACGCCTTCCCGCGCCCAGGCCCCGAGGGGGCGTCCTCTGCCCAGAAGCCCAGGCCGCGGACATCTCAGCTGCTCCGCTTGGCTCCCGAGGGCTCGCTGGAGGAGAAGCCTGCGTGTCTCCTCGGAAGTCGGCGGTTTCGTCCGCGTTGGGGGGTGCTTTTTCGGGTTCTGGGAAGCGTGAGAACGAGAGAGTACCCTCGAGGAGGACTTGCTGCCGATCGCGAACTGTGCGCCGCCTTTGTTTCCTCGCCCGTTCTGTGTACATAGAATTTCATTTCAATTTAGGGGCCCTTCTCGGTGGCGCAACGGGTTAAAGAGCAGCACTGCGAAGCTAGCTGAAGCAGCTGCAGCAGGAGTTTGATTCCCCTACTGAGAGCTGACCCACATGGCGCGGCAGACCTCTCCTGACCCGCCCGCTGCTCCCCTCAGCAGTGTACTTAAGTCAATCTGCTGGTTCTGCTTCCCACTCTGTCTCTGGTGAATCCTCTCTGTCTCTGCATCTCTGACCTGTATCTCAGTTCTGTATGCATATAAATAAATCTTTAACAAAAAATCATTTCAATTTGGAATCGTTATGTAATCTTTTGGAAGATATTTGAAAATGTCACAAAAGGTCGCTACAACGCAGAAAGGACCACTTCTGACCCGCCCCATCTCTGCTCTCGCCCCAAGAGACTGGGGCATTCCCAGAGGGAGCTGTTCCAGCGAGCTCAGGTTACAGCCAGCTGCTAGCATGTGCAGATGGGAAAGGAATAAGCCTGCTGGGGTCGTTGACGTGTTGTGTTGCTATAAATTTAGGTAGAAAAGTTTCACATTTACTTTTTTATAACTTAAAAAATGATGATATAAATGCATACACGTGCTTTGTTAAAATATAGTCAGACTTGAAAAAAACCTTTTTTTTTACTTCACTGCATTTTTAGTATTATTCTGAAATTTGAATTTAACACCTAGCAATATATCACAACGTGTCTCCATGTCAGTACAATATATAGAGAGCACTTTGGTTTTTCTCTTATATCTGGCCAGGAAGATCGAAGTTTTGTGAGGCTTTAAGCTTATAACAAGTTGGGGGCAGGGAGTGAGACCTTCTTTAAGAACTATTTAAACATTAAATATGAAAGTATTTTTTTTTTGACGAGAAAGCACAAGATTCCAAATTTCAAGAAGTGAACCATCACAAAATCCAGAGATAAACATAATTGTATTCATAAATAATAATAATATTAATAAGATAATAATAATAAGAATATCTGACAGCAATCTATGCTACTTCCCCTACATTTTTTTAAAAAAAGATTTATTTATTTATGCACACAAGAACTGGGGTACAGGCTGGGGGGGGAGTGAGATGATCCATCAGACTCAGGTTGGGGAGCAGAACAGGCAGACATACTGAAGTACACTGCTGAGGGGAGCAGCAGGTGGGTCAGGAGAGGTCTGCCAGCCATGTGGGTCATCTCCCTGGAGGGGGATTGAACTCATGCTGCAGTGGCTGCAGAGAACTTCACAGTGCTGCTTTTTAACCTGTTGTGCCACCAGGGAGGGCCCCTTATCTTTTGATAATAGTCATCTTCATCCATCTGACGTGATCTCTTATTGTTTTGATTTACATTTCTCTGATAGTTAGAGATGATGAGCAACTTTTCATGTATCTGTTTCCCCTCTGTGTATATTCTTTGGAGAAGTGTCAGATTCTCTGCTGATTTATTTTTCAATTGGGTTCTTCTATGTTGCTGAATTATATGAGTTCTTTGTAAGTTTTGGGCATTAAACATGTTGTCAGGTGTTTATTATCTCTTGTTATAAAAACATTTGTATATTGATATCCTATCAATATTTGATCTTGAGTGGATGACAATTTCAGCACAAGCAACTATTTTTTTTAACTTTTATGGAAATTAAATCCAAAAATTGAGAGGATGTGGAGAAATTGGGAGTGGTTGCTTATATTTAATTCTACTCAGTGTCAGGTAAATGTCCACATATTTACCCCACAGACTGAACTGATGCATTTTGATCTGTTGAGGAAGGCAGGACCAAACACATTGCTTCTTAAGTATTTGGTCTAATATTTCATTTTTGTGGAAGTGTATGGGTTTACACATGATTCTTTGTGACAACTTTGTAAACTCCAGATTTTTACTATTATCATTTAGCTTTCCATTAACACAAAGATTAAAGAGTAACTATTTGCACTGACATCATTAGCCCTTTGCAGTATTGAGTTTATTGCATCTTGGAGCAAATGAGTTAATTTCATATTTACATTTCAGCTCATAAATGCAACTTTGGTCAATAGCAAATTTATCATCTAGTATATTCTTTTGTTTAAAAATTGCTTTCTAGATGTGAAAAATCTCAA